GTGTATCTGTTAGTCTTGATAAATCCACTGAATACTCTGTCCTCAGTTTTCATTATTTCAGCTCCGTCCAACTAGAGGTAAACTGGTTGGTTTGGCACTCACAGCAAAAAGCAGTCTTTTGAAGTTCTCATTTCCTGTAGCTTTATTGGTTTTCGAATGCAGAGCAGGAAACAGGCACAGAGGGTTCAGCTAATGCCTCCCTCAGTGTGCAGGCTCAGTGACTGGGAACCTCTTTTAAAACAGATGTAGAAGAAGCCATTGCAGCCTGCAGGTTGGGTGATTCATAATCATAATAAAATGACTGATCACAGTCATTGACGCAATCAACTTGTACTGACTAACACAGTAAAATCCCATCTGGTTAATACTTAAAACTGAACTAATATCAACTCGATGCAGACTGTAATTGGTGTAACATGACCAATTGGTAATCAAACTAAATTCAGCATGGTATATGACCAGCAGCGCTGTCTGCTTTCATCTGCTTCTCTGGGTACATTTTCTCAGGGCTGTTTCTTGCCATTTTGGAGTGCAAGGCCATTGGATTGACCTTTTCATTGCCAAATGACTTCATATTTTAGAATCCAAATTCAACTCAACTTCTGGTGTTGGTCATATAACCAACGACACTTGTCGCTTAGTAGTTCCTGTTGTGCTAATGCTGGGATGTATGGACAGGATTTAGACTGACTCTGTCTTGAGGACTGTCTAGTTGTTAGTTTGTATTGACTGGCCTGGTTCTCTGTCCCTGTCTCCAGCTGTCTCACTTCCTCAAGGCGATGTGCTCTCCTCTAACCCCCCCAGACCTGCCGTTCTCTACCTGTCCACCAGATGCCCTTAGAAGAACCCACCAGTCCCAGTCACCTGACTCTCATTCACCCGCTCACCTGCTGTACATATGCCCAGTCAGTGGTCGTTTTGTCAATGTTGCCTCATACAGTTCCTTTCTAAGCCCTCTGAACCTGTACCCCATTAGCAGAACCTTGACCTGATCTGCAACCTGAACCCTAAAATCTGCAGCTGCGGATCGCTTTGGATGAGTTTCCTGTTTGGGCTGCCTTTCTGGTGTGGACCCTTGCCTGAGGGCATCTGGTGGACAGGCAATGAACGGGTCTGGGGAAGTGGGAATGTGACTGGAGTTAAGGTTTTTCAACCAAGAACAGCACTTGTGGTTCACCTGCAATATATCACTGAAATAGCTTTTAAAACTCAAAGCAGCTCTGCTCACATTGCTGTCACGGATGCTTGCTGTCATTTATTGAAACTATTGGCTGCAGTGCAAGTGAGTGTTTTTTTGCATTCGTAATTTCATTTGCAAATATCTGGATTTCTTGCCAACAACTAGGCTATATTGATGATAAATGCCTTGAATAGCCCAATCAAGCCTGTAGATTGGCTTGACAACCACTTTATTTTCAGGTTGTAGATTATAACTTTATGATATCTTCTGTTTAACTGATTCATTACTCGAGATGAAGGGGCGCATGTCACAAATACAGTATGTGCCCAATATGAGGTTTATGAGTCTTATGCTGATTTTGATCATACAATATGATGTTTGCATGGAACTATGCCCATGTGTGATTCTTACACAGCGGTGAAATTAACCACAAACGTCACAAAGTTAGTGGAAGCTAGCAGTTTTAATCAAATCGATATGACAGAGTGTGCGGTGGGTAAATTTGGAAATGTAATGTCCACAGACTTCTGAAGGTATGGCACATCTGCAATTGCATTCAAACCACCAATCTCCCCTTTTAGTTTTTAGATTATGTAGAATGTGACCTTTGTTGGGTGATGAAGAGCCTCTGTTCTTTTTCACTGAAGGTTACTGATATATATAGAAACATGCAATATGACAGCACTTCAGACCTCAAGTGTTTCCATGCATATGAATTGAGATTCTTCACCTGTTAATTTGAAATGTCTCTAAACATTCTTAACAATATTGATAATGGCAACATATACTGTACAGAATATATGCGGGGTCTATATCAAATATGTTGTGACTTGTATCCTTGAGCTGCTGAAGACTGCTTAGATAATATTCACATTAAACCCTCAACTGAGGATCCTCGTACTGTATTAGGTTGAAAGCCAACCTTTACATGTCTTTGTAGAATAAAACAAACAAATCCAAAATGTTCAGCATATCCACATTCTGTGCAATAATTGTGCAGTCATAAAATTACTATCCATTCATTTTCTTTCGCTTATCCGGGGCCGAGTCACGGTGGCAGCAGGCAGAGCAAGATAATCTAGACATCCATCTCCTCAGCAACGTTTTCCAGCTTCTCCTGGGGGATCCTTAGGTGTTTCCAAGCCACATGGGATATATTGTCCCTCCAGTGTGTTCTGGGTTTACTCCATGGTCTCCCACCCGTCATGACCACATCAACTGATTTCTGCAACAACTCACTCCCATCCACCCTTGGAAGTGTCAAGTTTCATCCCGAAGGCTTCCCTCTCAACTGCAAACCACCCCAGTGCGTGCTGAAGGTCATGGTTTGATGAAGCCAACTGAACCATATTATCTGCAAAGAGCAGAAAAGCAATTCTGTCCCCAAACCTGACACTCTCCTTCCCCCTGACTGTGCCTTGAGATCCTCGCTGTGTACATCATGAACAGAATCCTTGACAAGGGACAACCGTGCCAGAGGCCAACAGCCACTAAGAATGTGTTTGACGTTGTGCTGAGAAAACCCAGCTCTGAATTGTTGATTTGGACTTTTTTCCTTGGAATGCACCCGTAAAGTCCCTGAAGGTGTGAAATTGAAAATGCTACTTTGTACTTGGTGGACATTGCTGATTTAGATGCTTTCAACGAACCAGTTGAATAAGGTTGAGCATTGCAATCTTTCATTGTTTCTTGAGAAGAAAGAACATAATTTTTTGTGTAGTTTGTATCTCAGATCAGACACACTGCTAGAAAACTCCAGAACATGAATATACAGGTGCATCTCAATGAATTAGAATATCATCGAAAAGTTAATTTATTTCAGTAATTCAATTCAAAAAGTGAAACTCATATATTATATAGATTCATTACACACAGGGTGATATATTTCAAGCGTTTATTTCTTTGAATTTTGATGATTATGGCTTACAACTAATGAAAACCCAAAATTCAGTATCTCAGAAAATTAGAATATTACATAAGACCAATTTAAAAAAAAGATTTTTAATACAGAAATGTTGGCCTACTGAGAAGTATGTACAGTATACAGTATGCACTCAATACTTGGTCGGGGCTCCTTGGCATGAATTACTGCATCAATGAGGCATGGCACGGAGGCCATCAGTCTGTGGCACTGCTGAGGTGTTATGGAAGCCCAGGATGCTTTGATAGGGGCCTTCAGCTCGTCTGCATTGTTGGGTCTGGTGTCTCTCAACTTCCTCTTGACAATACCCCATAGATTCTCTCTGGGGTTTAGGTCCATAGACTCTCTGGGGTTTAGGTCCATAGACTCTCTCTGGGGTTTAGGTCAGGCGAGTTTGCTGGCCAATCAAGCACAGTGATACCATGGTCATTAAACCAGGTATTGGTACTTTTGGCAGTGTGGGCAGGTGCTAAGTCCTGCTGGAAAATGAAATCAGCATCTCCATAAAGCTTGTCAGCAGAGGGAAGCATGAAGTGCTCTAAAGGTTTCTGGTAGACGGCTGCGCTGACTTTGGACTTGATAAAACACAGTGGACCAACACCAGCAGATGACATGGCTCCCTAAATCATCACCGACTGTGGAAACTTCACACTGGACCTCAAGCAACTTGGATTGTGTGCCTCTCCACTCTTCCTCCAGACTCTGGGACCTTGATTTCCAAATGAAATGCAAAATTTACTTTCATCTGAAAAGAGGACTTTTCAGGACTTTTCTGAGCAACAGTCCTTTTTCTCCTTAGCCCAGGTAACTTAGCCCAGGTAATTTAGATAGATAGATAGATATAAACTTTATTTATCCCCAGGGGGAAATTAGTTTGTAGCAGCAGCAATTTACAGAGTAAAATATAACTTATGCAATGCACAATATATACAGTACAATAAAATAACAAAGCAGATATTGAATTTGAAGGAATAGATTAATAAAAAATAAGATAAATAGAATGAAAAATAGAAATGAACAGTATGTACCATGAATGGAGTGGTAGTCCAGGTAACTTAGTTCAGGTAACTTAGTCCAGGTAACTTAGTCCAGGTAACTTAGCCCAGGTAACTTAGCCCAGGTAACTTAGCCCAGGTAAGACGCTTCTGACGTCTCTGGTTCAGGAATGGCTTGACACAAGGAATGCGACAGTTGTAGCCCATGTCCTGGATACGTCTGTGTGTGGTGGCTCTTGAAGCACTGACTTCAGCCGCAGTCCACTCCTTGTGAATCTCCCCCAAATTCTTGAATGACCTAAACCCCAGAGAGAGTCTATGGACCTAAACCCCAGAGAGAGTCTATGGACCAAAACCCCAGAGAGAGTCTATGGACCTAAACCCCAGAGAGAATCTATGGACCTAAACCCCAGAGAGAGTCTATGGACCTAAACCCCAGAGAGAATCTATGGACCTAAACCCCAGAGAGAGTCTATGGACCTAAACCCCAGAGAGAATCTATGGGGTATTGTCAAGAGGAAGATGAGAGACATCAGACCCAACAATGCAGACGAGCTGAAGGCCCCTATCAAAGCAACCTGGGCTTCTATAACACCTCAACAGGGCCACAGGCTCATTGCCTCCGTGCCACGCCGCATTGATGCAGTAATTCATGCAAAAGGAGCCCCGACCAAGTGTTGAGTGCATACTGTATACTGTACATGGACATAGTTTTCAGTAGGCCAACATTTCTGTATTAAAAATGTTTTTTTTAATTGGTCTTATGTAATATTCTAATTTTCTGAGATACTAAATTTTGGGTTTTTATTAGCTGTAAGCCATAATCATCAAAACTAAAAGAAATAAACGCTTGAAATATATCACCCTGTGTGTAATGAATCTATATAATATATCACTTTTTGAATTGAATTACTGAAATAAATTAACTTTTCGATGATATTCTAATTCATTGAGATGCACCTGGTAACGCCTTAATATTGAGTTGAACATTGGTTGATCGGGTCACCGTGAGAACAGATGAATTTCTGCCTGATGTGACAAGAAGTGCTACACACTTGATGGCATTGTCCCATTAGGTGGAGAATAATCCCGAGTGCAGAGATCCGTCCCCAGCCCCTCATCTGAAGAGCTTTGATGACTGTAATCTTACATTTAGAGTCTCTGCTAATCTCTTTGGATTACAGACTGTATAGATAAGTGATGCAAAGTGGTTCAAATCGCCTGAAAATCTTCCCTCCACTTATGCGCAATGTATGAAGTGTGTACACGCTGACTGGTGATATGTGAGAGGGTCATACATAATGCTGTTATCCTTATGTAAAGGTCAGAGGCCATGGCAGCGACAGTAAAGGGATATGAAACGTATACTAGAATCCAGTTAAAGCAGAATGGGATACAGTAAATAGAATGCTGTCTCATTGGGTGGGTTAATTTAGCCAATCATGAAAAGACCTCAACTTTACCCAACGTGTATGAACATATCCATGACATAGATGTACCAGCAGCACCGTAATATATCATTCTTTTAAAAAGCTGAGAGCTGTTGGTTTTAAGAATAAGGCATGGGAACAGTTGATGCCTGGATTTCCTCTTTTCCATTAAAATAACTCTTTAACAGATTTTCGATCTGTTTTTGGGTCACTTGTTCCACTTGCTGTGGATTTACGTAAAGTGTTGTGATCCCTGCTTTATACACTGCTTAAATCAGACAGCTGCCAATTTCTGAATTCCACGCAAGTTGAAGCACACTGAGAAAATGGGCCAAATGTCACCATGAGTCTACACAGAACGAAATAAAATTGATGTCACCAATGCTTTAAAAAAAACGTTGAATCCTATTGGCTGTATTTGGGTCCCCAACACTCACATTAATACTTCTCAGCAAGAAATTCACTTATATATAGACCCCACCCCCCCAAAAAGACAAGAGTAAGTATGTCTAAACTGATTGTAAATATAAGCTGTGTAACTGTTAAGGATACAGGTGGAAATGAATAATGGACACATCACTTTGATGGTCCCTATCTTACTTCAGAATTCAGCTAATCGCAAGCTTTTCAAGATGCCAGGCATAGAATATTAATAATAATCGGATAAAAAGTTACTAATCTCACAGAATGACATTTTTAAGATGTATTGTTATTTCATATTTTGTTTTGTTTTAGTCCTATTTGTTTACTTTTTTTTGCAAATCTGGGTGCTGTGAAAAAGGATGCTCATTTTGATGTGGTGCATGAGTTTCTAAATCCTATGCCTATGCTTTTTAACCAAGGATTGTAGTTTGCTAACCTATAAATTACATAGTTCGTTTTTCGTTTGTTTGGTATTTTGGCACTTTGTGTTTTCCCTACTTGATTGCTTTTAGCCTCTTAATTTTAGAAGAAATGTCAGGAGATGCTCAAAATAGAAAGTGCTGCAGTCAAGTTATGGCAGAAGGAAACTAGGTGTCTGAAACACTCAGCTCTGAACTGAGCGGAGGAAGGCAGCCAACTTGAAAAATTCAATAGTTGTCTCATAAAGCAGCTGGGCAGCACCGCCTGCAGTTTGCTATCACATTTATTTGCTCAAGATATACTTTTGTTTGGCAGGGCCTGCCATCCCTGTTGGAGTGGACGTTCAAGTGGAGAGCTTGGACAGCATCTCTGAGGTTGATATGGTAAGAAAAACTGCATTTATCCACACCTCAATATCATGTGACAGATAATTAAAGATGACGCATGCCACAGTGTGAGATAAAGATAAGAAGGAACATACTGGGGAAAAAATAGAGAAAGTGTAGTGGTGGTAGTGTGATGACATGGCGGAGAAAAGTAAAATATGTTTTGTTTTTTTCTTTTAGAATATTATAATGATAATAATAAAACAAATATATATGAATATAGTTAGCACATATCAAGACAACAGTTACAACGTGCTTTTAGAAAGCAATACAACAATTCACAAAAGAAGAGAAATCAAGTAAGCATTAAAAAAGCAGAATAAGCAAAGGAGACTAATGAAATATCAAAACATCAATGAATCAGCAACAATGATTTCAAAACTCTCTACAACAAACATCTGTGAAATACATGCAGTAGAGTACATCATCAAGTGTATACATATTCATACACACATATACACATGTTAGCTTTTTACGCTTCAAATCTATTTTCATAATTTCTACGTAACATACCTACAGTGACTGTGCAGGGCTCTGACTTCTGCCAAAAGGTGAACTACACTAAAAAGTTCTGTGCCTGAACACATCCTGCGTGGAACCACACGGAGGACTGAAGCTCACAATGTGCTACTTTTGCTGGGAACAGCCTGCAGGTTGCTGCCCGAGGAGCTCTGTGTGCAGGTCGATAAGGAGAGAGGAAGTTATCTGAGGGATGACCTTGCTAATATGCGATTGAAGTTGATGCTGTTCCTAAACGTCACGCCTATCTGTGTGTGCAGGTGGTCAATAATACGATTTTTTTGGTTATAAGTCAGTGTAAAACAACTTGTTCAATGATCATATACAATATTCACACACAAACAGGCATCTATGCAGTTTCTTCCAGTACAACAAAGGGTAAAATAATCTGGATATATTTCAGTTTACTCCATTTTCTACCTTGAAGTGACTTCAACTCCATGTAACTAATGGATATGGTTCTCTGTAGTCCATCCATCCATCCATTTTCTTCCGCTTATCGGGTCGCGGTGGCAGCACTCCAAGCAGGCTGACCCAGACTTCCCTCTCCCCCGCAACATTTTCCAGCTCAGTCTGGGGGATCCCGAGGCGTTCCCAGGCCAGCTGGGAGATATAATCCCTCCAGTGTGTTCTGGGTCTTCCCCGGGGTCTCCTACCAGTTGGGCATGCCCGGAAAACCTCCAGTGGGAGGCACCCAGGGGGCATCCTAATTAGATGCCCGAACCACCTCAGCTGACTCCTTTCGACGCAAAGGAGTAGCGGCTTAACTACAAGTTCCCTCCTGATGTCCGAGCTCCTTACCCTATCTCTAAGGCACGACCCAGAGTTTGTGACCATAGGTGAGGGTAGGAACGTAGACCTACCGGTAAATTGAGAGCTGAGCCGGAAGGCTCACCAAGACCGTCTCTTCACCAAGACGGTCCGGTGCAGCGCCTGCTTTACTGCTGCAGCCGCACCGATCGGCCTGTCGATCTGCCAATCCATCTTACACTCACTCGTGAACAAGACCCCGAGATACTTGAACTCCTTCGCTTGAGGTAGGCACTCCGTCCCCACCTGGAGGGAGCAATCCACCGGTTTCCGGCAGAGAACCATGGCCTCAGATTTGGAGGTGCTAACTCTCATCCCCGCCGCTTCACACTCGGCTGCAAACCGCCCCAGTGAATGCTGGAGGTCACGATCCGAGGAGGCTAACAGGACCACATCATCTGCAAATAGCAGAGAAGCGATCCCGAGACCCCCGAGACTGACGTTTTCCACCCCCCGGCTGTGCCTAGATATCCTGTCCATGAAAGTCACGAACAAGAACAGTGACAAAGGGCAGCCCTGGCGGAGGCCAACACTGGGAACGTGTCTGACTTATTGCCGAGAATACGGACACAGCTCCTACTGCAGTCGTACAGAGACCGGATGGCCTTTTGCAACGGGTCCGGCACCCCGTACTCCTGCAGCACCCCCCACAAAAAACCCTGAGGGACACAGTCGAAAGCCTTCTCCAAGTCCACAAAGCACATGTAGACTGGTTGGGCAAACTCCCAGGATCCCTCCAGTAGTCTTGCTAGGGTAAAGAGCTGGTCCACTGTTCCACGGCCGGGACGAAATCCGCATTGCTCCTCTTGAATCCGAGGTTCGACAAACGGTCGGAGCCTCCTTTCCAGCACCCTGGCATAAGCCTTCCCCGGGAGGCTGAGTAGTGTGATACCCCGATAGTTCAAGCACACTCTCCGGTCCCCCTTTTTTAAAATGAGAACCACCACCCCGGTCTGCCAGTCCATGGGCACTGTTCCCGACCCCCATGCGACATTGAAGAGGCTGTAGTCTTTGGAGAGTGGGAAGGAGACAGGAGAGTGAGGAAATCTGATTACATTTTGACAACTGAGGACCAAAAGCAGTTAAACAGTGCCCAGTCTTTCCCAACTGATGGGCTTTTTGATGCTCTACCCAGCAGCCAGATTTTCTTGGTTGGCCGATCACTGCCGAGCACACAGTGCGAAACATGACTGGTAGTCATGTTTCGCACTGTGTGAATGCAGGGTTACTGTTACCACAGAAGCTACTTTAGGGTGCTTTCACACCTAAGCGGTTTTGTTTGGTTTAAACAAACTCTTGCCAGGTTAGTATGGTTCGTTTGGGCTGGTGTGGAATCTGTCAATCGAATCCTGATGTGGACCAAAATACTGAACTGAGACTGCTTGAAGAGGAGGGTCTCAGTCCACCGTCCAAGTGGACTCTGGTGCTTTTTGTTTGTGGTGTGAAAGCAAACGAACTAACAGCAAGATGTTATGATCGCAGACATGTAATTTTAGCTGAATTTCAAAAGCTAAACTACTAATAAATCCATCTGCTGAATGTGAAATCTGTGTTACAGTCGGTTTGTTCTGGACCCAAACACAGACACCGGGACAGCAGAGTAGGTGAGAAAAAAAGTTTTTTATTTGGCTTGTCTGTGGAGCCGGTGGAACATGCAGGTGGAGCAGCGAGGCGGTGTGTGCGGCGGCGACGTGGCACGGGAATCGCTGAGGCAGAGGGAAAACACAAGTTAGTTGCAAAGTCAAAACAAGGCTAACTTGCTCTAAGAAGAGATTTACGCTCAAAAGGGGCCGAGGTCGTAGCTACCACTGAGCTGAAGGAACAATCTGGCGATGAGACTGCAGGAAGCCGGGGTATTTGAGCTGAAGGTGATGAAGGTCTAATTGTTGGCAGGTGAGGAGATGAGCCCAGGTGCCGGATGATTGCAGCCGCGCTCAAGCCACACATACACACGCAGACAGGGGACAGAGGGGAGATGAGCTGAGGTCACAGTGGAGCCGTGACAATCTGTTTATGAACCAATTTTATAATTGGTCCGAGACCATGTTTATCATTTGGTAACTAACGTATGCACACCAGCGTGAGTATTTTCCCTGATTCACAGGTCAAAAGCTGTTAAAACTGCTGTGCTTGTGTCTGTCTCTGTGTACTTACTCAGTTCATTAAGTCCATTAAAGTGTGTGACAGTGATCCCACAGTAATAAGCCCGCATCATCTCTGTCTCATGCCGCCTCATGCATGTGTCCGTGTGCTCCCCAACTTTGGCACCAGTCTAATAATACTAATAATGCTTATAATCAATGATGTCTTTATGAGCTCTTTGTAAAACCAAAATAACACAAATAAACACATGAGAATCAGTAAAGTGCTGCATAGACTTCAGTCAGTCACCAGAATTTGATTTCCCCACATGGGCACAATCAGTTAAATGCGTTTGAGTGAGCCCGGCCGGTATCAACTCAGCGTGTCAGGCTTTCTGACCCCTACTTGCTAGTGGACATTTATTTGGTTTTGACAGATACTCCTTATAGGGGCTTGCAATGCAGATTATATTAAAGGTCCTATATTGTAGGACGTGAGATTTACATGAAGCTTAAGCGTAAGTTCAGTCAGGAAGACTGTCTTTACTCTTCTTTGCATTCATAGTCTCTCTCGCACTGTGATTACTCTATCACTTTAAATGATAGAGTAATGATAGAGTAGGCGTTCACTTTAAATTAACCAACCAGATTCTGCACAGGTTGCTTAAGCCAATCACATCGTTGATGTCAAACTTTAAAAAATGTTCTCCTCTCTGCTGCTGTCAGTTGTCATTTCAGCTCAAAGCAGATGCGACCCTCTTCCACCCCAGTTACCTCCAGTCAGCATCAAAGTCATGCTCCTCATCATCATCTTCATCATCACCACCACCACCAGTGTGTGGACTCCAGGGGGATTCTGCCTTATCTGACCTCAGCATCACTACCACTCTATTATACTACTTCAGGATGGAGTTCAATCGCCACAGACTTTGCACCGTTCATATTTTATGCATGTATAATAAATCATTGTTAAATTTGAATGAAGTCTCTCCATAAGGTATACTGTGTACGTATCAAAACACTCAATCCACCTGTACTGAGAAACTGTCTTTAAAACGAGCCGTCAGGACGTCAGGTTGTGATGTCACAACTGTACAGTCACCGGTAGAAGTGCGGCTAAACTCTGTGCAGTCTACACCCCAGTTGCTGAAGACCGGAAAAGCTAACCTATCAGAGCAGCTTGGGCTTTTTCGGGAGGGTGCCTTAAAGAGACAGGCACTAAAATGGAGCATTTCTGACAGAAGAGGAATACAGGTATATTCAGACAGACAGTATGAGGAAATGTAAGTGTTTTTTGAACATTAAAGCCCAAATATAGCCCAAAGCCCAAATATAAGTATGTGTCTGAAAATGAGCATGATATGTCCACTTAAATTCGACATTACATTCACTTATATTATACATCTAAATAAGACTGTGATGTTACATTGTCATAATCTTTAAGCAAGAAGTGAGAGGTGTCCACAAATCAGGAAAAGGCTAATCCCTATTTTCCAATCATGTTACATTCTACAATTCAACAATTCAACTATAAATAGATACTTGGTACTTCATTGATCCCTGAGGGGAAGATGAAAAGCAACTCACTCACACACTGTTTGGGAAATTAACTGAAATTCCATCTGCTTTTTTTTTTTACCCCAACTACCATTTATGGCCACAGTGGTTAAGCAAATGTTACATAGTGTCACTTTAAAGACTCAGTAAAACAGGCGCTTCTAGCTTCCATAATGTGACAAGTGAAACTCAGTATATGATATGTGTATTTATCAACACGAGAGGGATTTCATCAAATCATCCAGAGATTTTATTTGATTACTCAAAGTGGGCGTAACCTTGTTTACTATGTAACAAACATACATTTTAAGCAAAACCACATTTAAATATAACATAACATAAAAATGAATAGCTTTGTTGTCTAAACCCAACCAAGTTGCTTCCTGTGAAAATGGAAGTTTATTTTGAAAAGATGTAACGAGAATAACCGACAGAGTATCTAGTGCATCACAGTATGAAGCCTAAGGCCACTAACTAAGCTGCCGTATTGGAGGGGTTAGGAGTGCGAGCGCGTTGTTATGGATGTAGACTGATGAACACCGTCCGTCTTTCCTTTGATTCCACCAGGACTTCACCATGACTCTGTACCTGAGGCACTATTGGAAGGACGAGCGCCTGTCGTTCACCAGCAGCACCAACAAAAGCATGACGTTTGATGGGCGCCTGGTGAAGAAGATCTGGGTCCCCGATGTCTTCTTTGTCCACTCGAAGAGGTCCTTCATCCACGACACTACCACCGAAAACATCATGCTGCGTGTCTATCCTGATGGACATGTCCTCTACAGCTTGAGGTCTGTAGCATTTCAGCATCTGCCTTCTCAGACCCATGTTGATCTGCCTCACAGGATCTCTCGTTTGTCGCAGAAATGTTCTCAATTGACCTTTTTTCCACAGTAGACATTTGAATGTGTCGTAACAGAAGAAGAGCACATTAACAATGTCTCAGTGTCAACTAGTGTAAGCCGTGACACTAATACCATAGGTCAGTGGTTCCTAACCAAGGATCCCAGGCCCCCCTCAGGGGGGAGCCAAAGATCACAGGAGGTGCATGACGACATGCATGACAACCAATGGATCCCTGGAGCCTTAGAAAACACATTCATATCAGGGGTGACACGAATAGCCGTCGACTTGTCAGAGAGGTGGAAAAATGTGTCACTGAAACAAAGGATCATTCTATTCCTGCTATACGGGGGTGCTGAATGTCTGATTTTAGTTTGGGTTTCTCCCAATAAATATCAGCCTATATAATACTGTTGATATGAATGTGAAAATAACCGTCACTGTATTTGTGAATAAGTCACCATGTAGACTAAGTTACACTATCCAAATGAGTGCGACTATCGAGCAGCATCTTGGTGATAGCTAGGTTACTGTTTCAAAATCAAAGGATACATTCATGAATCAAAGCACTAGATATATTGATGAATGATTCTCTACAATCAGCAGGGGGATGCTGTAGAAACAGCTGTTTGGGTGTCTCTTAACTTTGTACTTTGGACAGCGCCGCACCTACACACACACACACACACACACACACACACCCTACACACCAGTGGCGGGCCGTCAGGGCCAGCTAAGCCTTCTCTGCTGGCCTAAACAGAATCACAAAGTTATAGCTATTTTATAATTTAATATCCATCCATCCATCCATTTTCCACCGCTTATCCGGGGTCGGGTCGCGGTGGCAGCAGGTCAAGCAGGCCGACCCAGACCTCCCTCTCACCGGCAACATGTTCCAGCTCATTCTGGGGGATCCCGAGGCGTTCCCAGGCCAGCTGGGAGATGTAATCTCTCCAGCGTGTTCTGGGTCTTCCCCGGGGTCTCTTCCTAGTTGGACGTGCCTGGAAAACCTCCAGTGGGAGGCGTCCAGGAGGCATCCTAATTAGATGCCCGAACCACCTCAGCTGACTCCTTTCGACGCGAAGGAGTAGCGGCTCTACTCCAAGCTCCCTCCTGATGACCGAGCTCCTTACCCTATCTCTAAGGCTGAGCCCGGCCACCCTACGGAGGAAACTCATTTCGGCCGCTTGTAGCCGCGACCTTGTCCTTTCGGTCACGACCCAGAGTTCGTGACCATAGGTGAGGGTAGGAACGTAGACCGAGTGGTAAATTGAGAGCTTTGCCTTCCGGCTCAGCTCCCTCTTCACCAAGACGGTCCGGTGCAGCGCCTGCTTTACTGCTGCAGCTGCACCGATCCGTCTGTCGATCTCCCGCTCCATCTTACCCTCACTCGTGAACAAGACCCCGAGATACTTGAGCTCCTTCGCTTGAGGTAGGCACTCCATCCCCACCTGGAGGGAGCAATCCACCGGTTTCCGGCAGAGAACCATGGCCTCAGATTTGGAGGTGCTAACTCTCATCCCCGCCGCTTCACACTCGGCTGCAAACCGCCCCAGTGAATGCTGGAGGTCACGATCCGAGGAGGCTAACAGGACCACATCATCTGCAAATAGCAGAGAAGCGATCCCGAGACTGACGTTCTCCGCCCCCAGGCTGCGCCTAGATATCCTGTCCATGAAAATCACAAACAGGACCGGTGACAAAGGGCAGCCCTGGCGGAGGCCAACACCCACCGGGAACGTGTCTGACTTATTGCCGAGAATGTGGACACAGCTCCTACTGCAGTCGTACAGAGACCGGATCGCCCGTTGTAACGGGTCCGGCACCCCATACTCCCGCAGCACCCCCCACAAGACCCCCCGAGGGACACGGTCGAAAGCCTTCTCCAAGTCCACAAAGCACATGTAGACTGGTTGGGCAAACTCCCAGAACCCCTCCAGTAGTCTTGCGAGGGTAAAGAGCTGGTCCACTGTTCCACGGCCGGGACGGAATCCGCACTGCTCCTCTTGAATCTGAGGTTCGACAAGCGGTCGGAGCCTCCTTTCCAGCACCCTGGCATAAGCCTTCCCCGGGAGGCTGAGTAGTGTGATACCCCGGTAATTCGAGCACACTCTCCGGTCCCCCTTTTTGAAGATGGGAACCACCACCCCGGTCTGCCATTCCATGGGCACTGATCCCGACCCCCATGCGACATTGAAGAGGCGTGTCAGCCAGGACAGCCCAACCATGTCCAGTGCCTTCAGCATCTCAGGGCGGATCTCATCTACCCCCGGCGCCTTGCCACCAAGGAGCTTTTTGACTACCTCAGCGACCTCTGCCAGGGATATGGGTGAGCCTCCCCCTAGGTCCTCAGGCGCTGCCTCCTCTGCAGAGGACATGTTGGTTGGGTTTAGGAGTTCCTCAAAGTGCTCTTTCCACCGCCCGACGATGTCCTCCGTCCGGGTTAGCAGTTCCCCCCCCTGCTGAGAACAGCCTGGGGTAAGCCCTGCTTTCCCTTCCTGAGCCGTCGGATGGTTTGCCAGAACCTCCTTGAGGCCAACCGAAAGTCCTTCTCCATGGCCTCCCCGAACTCCTCCCATGCCCGAGTTTTAGCATTCACGACCACCGCAGCTGCAGCCCTTCTGGCCTGCCGGTACCTGTCAGCTGCTTCAGGAGACCCCTGGGCCAACCAAGCCTTGAAGGTCTCCTTCTTCAGCTTGACGGCTTCCCTCACCTCCGGTGTCCACCACCGGGTTCTCGGGTTGCCGCCACGACAGGCACCGATGACCTTCCGGCCACAGCTCCTAGCGGCCGTGTCCACAATAGAGGCTTTGAACATGGTCCACTCGGATTCCGTGTCCCCAACCTCCCTCGGGATGTGTGAGAAGTTCTTCCGGAGGTGGGAGTTAAAGACCTCCCGGACAGGGTCCTCCGCCAGACGTTCCCAGTTCACCCTCACTACACATTTGGGTTTGCCGGGTCTTTCCAACCGGTTCCCCTGCCATCTGATCCAACTCACCACCAGGTGGTGATCAGTTGACAGCTCTGCTCCTCTCTTCACCCGAGTGTCCAAGACATACGGCCGCAGATCAAATGATACGATTACAAAGTCGATCATTGATCTCCGGCCTAAGGTGTTCTGGTACCAGGTACACTTATGAGCCACCTTATGTTCGAACATAGTGTTCGTTATGGCCAAACCATGGCAAGCACAGAAGTCCAATAACGATACACCATTCGGGTTCAGATCGGGCAAGCCGTTCCTCCCAATCACCCCCCGCCAGGTTTCTCCGTCATCGCCCACGTGAGCGTTGAAGTCCCCCAGGAGAACTATGGAGTCGGTAGGCGGCGCCCTTTCCAGGACCCCTCTCACCGACTCCAAGAAGGCCGGATACTCTGAACTGCTGTTTGGTGCATAAGCACAAACCACAGTCAGAGCCTTGCTCCCCGCAACCCGTAGGCGCATGGAGGCGACCCTCTCACTCTCCGGGGAGAACTCCAACACAGCGGCGCTCAGCCGGGGGCTCGTGAGTATCCCCACTCCCGCCCGGCGCCTCTCACCCTGGGCAACTCCGGAAAAGGACAAAGTCCAACCCCTCTCCAGGAGCTTGGTTCCAGAGCCAACGCTGTGTGTGGAGGTGAGTCCAACTATTTCTAGCTGGTATCGCTCCACCTCCTGCACCAGCTCCGGCTCTTTCCCCGCTAGCGAGGTGACGTTCCACGTCCCTAGAGCTAGTCTATGCCGCCGGCATAGGCTAGCATGCCGCCGGCATGCCCGGGCCTCCCGCCCGACCCGCCGCCCGGTCTGCATAGCACCCGACCCCGATGCTTGACCCTGCGGGTGGTGGGTCCACAGGGTGGCTGCTCCATGGTGTTTATTCGGGCTGAGCCCGACCGGGCCCCATGGGTAAAGGCCCGGCCACCAGACACTCGCCTACGAGCTCCCCTCCTGGGTCTGGCTCCGGGAGGGTGCCCCGGTTTCCCTGGTCCGGGCGAGGTGGCTGTAGTCCGTGGGCTAACTATCATAGGGGTTGTTTTGAACCGCTCTTAGTCTGGGCTCTCCCCTGAAACCTGTTTGCCTTGGGAGACCCTACCATTATAATTTAATAATTTTTCGCAAATACACTACATGTATTATAATTATTTTTCCCATTAGCTTATTTTCTCATTGCACAGCTCCTGTCTTCCTCTGTTGCTCTGCTTCCAGTGCAGCTTGTTTTAAGGAGAGCTTTTATCCAATCAGATTCAGCCCCTATGTCTCTATGTAAGGAGAGAGGCCCGAGGCCCTCTAGGTAGACTTTGCAGTTTAAGTGAATGGGGACATAATTGTTGATTGTGATAGTCTTCAACCAATCAGATCTTTAGTTTGACATGTTGGGCGTATGCTTTGACGTACCTTTGGCACCGAGGTAGCCTGCTACGTACGTCTGCATTAACGTGCTCCGTGATTGGTCAGTGGGCCAGCGCTTGACTAATGTGAAATTTAAGGAAGCTGGCAGAAGTTAGTTGGAGTAGTAAGAGTTCAAATTGAAAGATATGGAAGAAATTTTTAGGGTTTTGCTTGGTGTAGTTCAGGGGTCTTCAACGTTTTTCAGCCCAAGGACCCCCGCATACCGGCGAAATACAACTGTGGAGGCTCGACTGTCACTGAATCGAGAAGGACTTCTTACTGGAACTGAAACGATGTTCTGGGATTAAACTCTTTGTCAACAAAGAAAGGAGGATGGACTTTGTCTTTAAGTGAACAGCATTCGGTAGGTGACAAACTGCGTTTGTTTTTTACATCTGCAGTAACGTTACTACTGTTCATTTGTCTATCGTGTCATTTTTATGAATAATATTTGATGGCTCGTGCTCTTGTGTGGTGGAATGTGTGGATCCGCTGCAGGTTTGCTGGATTGATGTGTGATGCTTTGTGGTCATATGAATATACGTATGTGACTGGTTCTTATGACTTTGTTGTTATTGT